ATCCATACACCGTTCCACAAGTTATTGTCTGGAAACTAGAAAAATGCTTATTTGGGCCCCTTTTTGGCCCCTAGTTCCTAAACTGTTTGAACTATAACCCCCAAAAATCAATCCCAATCTTCCTTTTGTGGTTATAAACCTTGTGTTTAAATTTCAAAGATTTCTATTTACATTTACTAAAGTTATTGTCCGGAAATCAAATGTCTTCAGACGACGCTGACGACGATGTGATACCAATATACGACCGCAAAAAAATTTGCTGTCGTATAAAAAGAATATGGTAACAATATGGTTATTCAGAATCTAAATAAAAGGCTTAATACTGGTTGTCTATAGTTTCCTAGAAGGTCAAACACAACATTTGCCACCAAATATTTTGAAATCACAAGACCAAAACAGAAAATACTAAAAAAAAAGAGGCTCTCAAGAGCCTGAATCGCTCACCTGTATTTCAGAGGAGAAGATTTTTAAATGTTAGCAAACTTGATGCACAAATTGTGTAAAATTGTCTTTAAAGGGCAATAACTCCTTAAAGGTAATAATATTCAAAATAATAACAAAAAACTGCAAAATTTTGTTAAAACTACCAATTCGGTGGCAGCAACCCAACAATGGGTTGTTCGATTGGTCTGAAAATTTCAGAGCTGATAGATCTTGACCAATTGAACAATTTTACCCCATGTCAGATTTGCTCTAAAAGATTTAGTTTTTGAGATATAAGCCAATAAAATGCTTCGCTGGGCGCAGCTTGATACGACCGCAGAGGTCGAACCCTGAACAGTTGGGGCAAGTATGGACACAACATTCAAGTTTGATACAGCTCTGAATTTGGATTGTGATTAAATATTTGACACAGCATAGGTTTCTGACACAGAAAGAATGTGGTCTAAGAACTTCAATTTTTTTAATTTACCTATAATGGTCCAATGTCCAAAATCAAAATACATGGTTAGATTCAGCATATCAAAGAACCCCATATATTCAATTTTTGTTGAAATCAAACAAAGTTTAATTTTGGACCCCAACTTGGACAAACTTGAAAACTGGTCCCATAATCAAAAATTTAAACACATGTTTAGATTCAGCATATCAGAGTACCCCAAGAATTCAATTTTTGTTAAAATCAAACTAAGTTTAATTTTGGACCCTTTGGACCTTAATGTAGACCAATTTAAAAAGTGGGACCCAAAATTAAAAATCTAAAAACACAGTTAGATTTGGCATATCAAAGAACCCCAATAATTCAATTTTTGATGAAATCAAACAAAGTTTAATTTTGGACCCTTTTGACCTCAATATGAACCAATTTGATAGCGGGCCCACAAATAAAAAATCTAAATACAGGGTAAGATTCAGCATATCAAAGAACCCCATATATTCAATTTTTGTTGAAATCAAACAAAGTTTAATTTTGGACCCCAATTTGGACCAACTTGAAAACTGGGCCAAAAATCTAAAATCTAAATACATGTTTAGATTCAGCATATCAAAGAACCCCATATATTTAATTTTTGTTGAAATCAAACAAAGTTTTATTTTGGACCCCAACTTGGACCAACTTGTAAACTGGGCCCATAATCAAAAATCTAAACACATGTTTAGATTCAGCATATCAAAGAACCCCAAGAATTCAATTTTTGTTAAAATCAAACTAAGTTTAATTTTGGACCCTTTGGACCTTAATGTAGACCAATTTAAAAAAACTGGACCCAAAATTAAAAATCTAAAAACACAGTTAGATTTGGCATATCAAAGAACCCCATTAATTCAATTTTTGATGAAATCAAACAAAGTTTAATTTTGGACCCTTTTGACCTCAATATGAACCAATTTGATAGCGGGCCCACAAATAAAAAATCTAAATACAGGGTAAGATTCAGCATATCAAAGAACCCCATATATTCAATTTTTGTTGAAATCAAACAAAGTTTAATTTTGGACCCCAATTTGGACCAACTTGAAAACTGGGCCAAAAATCTAAAATCTAAATACATGTTTAGATTCAGCATATCAAAGAACCCCATATATTTAATTTTTGTTGAAATCAAACAAAGTTTTATTTTGGACCCCAACTTGGACCAACTTGTAAACTGGGCCCATAATCAAAAATCTAAACACATGTTTAGATTCAGCATATCAAAGAACCCCAAGAATTCAATTTTTGTTAAAATCAAACTAAGTTTAATTTTGGACCCTTTGGACCTTAATGTAGACCAATTTAAAAAAACGGGACCCAAAATTAAAAATCTAAAAACACAGTTAGATTTGGCATATCAAAGAACCCCATTAATTCAATTTTTGATGAAATCAAACAAAGTTTAATTTTGGACCCTTTTGACCTCAATATGAACCAATTTGATAGCGGGCCCACAAATAAAAAATCAAAATACATGGTAAGATTCAGCATACCAAAGAACCCCATATATTCAATTTTTGTTGAAATCAAACAAAGTTTAATTTTGGACCCCAATTTGGACCAACTTTAAAACTGGGCCAAAAATCTAAAATCTAAATACATGTTTAGATTCAGAATATCAAAGAACCCCATATATTCAATTTTTGTTGAAATCAAACAAAGTTTAATTTTGGACCCCAACTTGGACCAACTTGAAAACTGAGCCCATAATCAAAAATCTGAACACATGTTTAGATTCAGCATATCAAAGAACCCCAAAAATTCAATTTTTGTTAAAATCAAACTAAGTTTAATTTTGGACCCTTTGGACCTTAATGTAGACCAATTTAAAAAACGGGACCCAGAATTAAAAATCTAAATACACGGTTAGATTTAGCATATCAAAGAACCCCAATAATTCAATTTTTGATGAAATCAAACAAAGTTTAATTTTGGACCCTTTTGACCTCAATATGAACCAATTTGATAGCGGGGACCACAAATAAAAAATTCTAAATACATGGTTAGATTCAGCATATCAAAGAACCTCATATATATTCAATTTTTGTTGAAATCAAACAAATTTTAATTTTGGACCCCAATTTGGACAAACTTGAAAACTGGGCCAAAAATCAAAAATCTAAATACATGTTTAGATTCAGCATATCAAAGAACCCCATATATTCAATTTATGTTAAAATCAAACAAAGTTTAATTTTGGACCCTTTGGACCTTAATGTAGACCAATTTGAAAACTGGACCCATAATTAAAAATCTAAATACACGGTTAGATTCGGCATAACAAATAAATAAATGTGGTCAAAGATTTTACAAATCTAATGTGCCATACTGTGCAATTAAAGATTACTTCTTGAAATTTTTCAATATTTGAAATTTGAAAAAAAAATAATATTTGAAGAATAATTCTTTTTAATTTCTGAAATCTGAAATGAGAAAAAATTGACCCCCACAATTTCTTTTTACCCCCCCCCCCCCCTTTTCCCCAAAAAATTCTTTCCCTCAAGATATGGTCATAATCTCAATTCAAATTTCCAATGGAATTTGCAGCCATAATTACCCATTTAAATTTACCATAGTGCTAACTTAATCTATTTTATAATAGAATTTAAAATATAGTGTCAAATCTTTCATATGGATTTTTTTGTAAAAAAAAAAGATGCAACATTTGCAGATATTTTTACTGGTCTTCCTTTATAAATATGCATTTCTTTAAACATAATTTAAAAGCAGTGTAAGGGAAGTAACCAAAACGTTGTATTTGGATTACCTCCCTTACACTGTTTTAAATTATCTTAATTGTTCATTAACCATTACTTTATACATAATTTAAAAGCAGTGTAAGGGAGATAATTTCAATGATGTATTTGATTTATCTCCCTTACACTGCTTTAAATTATGTTTTGTACTAAAGTATTTGTCCATTAACCAGGACAACCTTGTTTTTCCCCCCTTTTTTGCCCCTAATTCTTAAACGGTTTGAGCCATAACCCCCCAAAGCAAATCCTAACCATCCCTTTGTGGTATGGAAACTTGTAGTATAATTTCAGAGAGATCCATACACTGTTCCACAGTTATTGTCTGGAAACTAGAAAATGCTTATTTTTGGCCCCTTTTTGGCCCCTAATTCCTTAACTGTTGGTACCATAACCCCCAAAATCAATCCCCACCTTCCTTTTGTGGTATTGAACCTTATGGTAAAATTTCACAGAGATCCATTCACTTAAACTAAAGTTAGAGTGCGAAAACTAATGCGTATTCGGACGACGACGCTGGACGACGACGACGACGCCGGACGACGACGACGACGACGCCAACGTCATACCAATATACGACCACAAAAATTTTTTTGCGGTCGTATAAAAACTGCATTTGACCCCTATGTTCTATTTTTAGCCATGGTGGCCATGTTTGTCAATGGATCAAAACTTCTGATACAATTTATAAACAAGATACCCTAAGAAACATTTAGTTAAAGTTTGAAGGTAATTGGCCCAGTAGTTTCAGAGGAGAAGATTTTTAAATGTTAGCAAACTTGATGAACAAATTGTGTAAAATTGTCTTTAAAGGGCAATAACTCCTTAAGGGGTCAATTGACAATTATGGTCATATTAACTTTTTTGTAGATCTTACTTTGCTGAACATTATTGCTGCTTACAAAACTGCAAAATTTTGTTAAAACTTCCAATTCGGTGGCAGCAACCCAACAATGGGTTGTTCGATTCATCTGAAAATTTCAGAGCTGATAGATCTTGACCAATTGAACAATTTTACCCCATGTCAGATTTGCTCTAAAAGCTTTAGTTTTTGAGATATAAGCCAAAAACTGCATTTGACCCCTATGTTCTATTTTTAGCCATGGCGGCCATGTTTGTCGATGGATCAAAACTTCCGATACAATTTATAAACTAGATACCCTAAGGAACATTTAGTTAAAGTTTGAAGGTATTTGGCCAAGTAGTTTCAGAGGAGAAGATTTTTTAAATAGTTTACGACGACAGACGATGACGACGACGGACGCCAAGTGATGGCATAAGCTTACATGGGGCCCTTTGGGCCCCGGTGAGCTAAAGACACTGAATAAGAATAAGGAGTACAAATCTTTTATTCACTATACAGATTATACATATTTGATTGTATTGACAATGAAATTATGTTTTATTGGACTGTTTTATGAATATATTCAAATATTGCAATATATAACAGGAAAAAGATGTTTCTTATTTTGAATTTCAAACAATAGATGGTTATATCTATGCTCCTAAAAATACCAACCATCCACTAAGATAAAAGTTTTGACACAAAAAGATATTTATGAACTATTAAAGACACATCAAGTTATAAACAATTTCAAGACTGTATTCAGATGTTTTAAATAAGTCATTATCATGTCTAAAATCACATACAAAACCAATCATTTTAAAAACAAATTTTTAATAAATATAAAAATACCCTTTTCAATTATTACTTGAATTAATGCATTCATAAGTTAAAAGTTTTTAAATTGCATATTTTCAGACTGTCAACAGAATTTGAATTCAGGATTAAAAGTATTATAAAGTATCTGATTAAAAAAGTAATGTAACCTTTTATCTTAATAAATAAAAATAACAAATACAAAAACAATTTGCCATTAAAAATATACAAGATGACCCTGAGTAAAAACAAATTAGAAAATCTGATGAAGAAAAAAAAAGTAAATCTCATGTAAGAAGATAAGGCAGGTTTAATACTGTTGCAAATTCTTCAAATCCCACAATTTATATTGCCAGTTCTTTATTCAGCTATTGACTCACAATTTAATATAAGACAACTTGCAGCTTGCTTCAAATGAATTTTTGTTTTAAATGTCTCCATCATAACATTTACTTCATCCCAATTTAATTTATCTCCAATCAAACTTCAGAGAAAATCTACATGAAGGTAATTAAGAATCCAAATGAAAATAACACTATATAAATGTTGTTCCTCCAAAGCACTTTTCTGGGCAATTCTCTCCGTCCTACTTCCAGAAAAATAAACACAACAAAGATACCCTCTTCATAAATTAGACAGATAATTCTACATAAAAAATAAAGTGGAAATAACAAAATGCATATAGATTTATAAAACTTAAAATTAGACTAGTTACTGAAAATATTATGGTAAAAGATACTACAATTTCTTTGTGTGGATTAAATACTTCATTTTCATGTTAGAAATTCCATGTCATCTTCATATAGAACATGTGAACTATGTACAATAAACATTAAGATGACAGGTATCAAATCAGCTGAACACTTTTTTCCATAGCATACAAGATGTTATCCCAACAAATCTTTATTCAATTATGATTAATTTATTCATGAATAACTTACAATGAATTGACAATGACACTTACATAATAGAAAAAATTATTTCATAGTAATCATATACACAGTGGTCAACCATAGTTTGGACAAAAGCTGCAAGGTACTGATAGTGATAATAAAATATAAAAGTTTATGTATAAAATACAGAATGTTACGAAACATTTAATGACTACTTTATCATTCATTTATATGATAGTATTTAGTGTTAAAATGACTATAAACATTACACAGGGGATTTTTAGTTCTCTGCTTTCTTCTGTAGTGTATCTAAGTAATATAAGTTAACAACATACTGATAGTATATATACACAACGAACATTAACACACAGAAATGAAATGATGCGTAATTACAACTTTAGAGTATCAGAAAAAGGTTCAAAGTTCATTCTAGGTTCAAAGTTCATTCAAATACTTCTTATCGTCTTGTTGCAGCCTTAATGTTCTGAAATATAAAAAAAAAACATTATTATTATGTTTACTACCATAGTAAGATTCTGAACTTCCACAACATGTAATTATTTAGATCTATCACTCATTATTATTTTGATTACTACCATAGTAAGATTCTGAACTTCCACAACATGTAATTATTTAGATCTATCACTCATTATTATTTTGATTACTACCATAGTAAGATTCTGAACTTCCACAACATGTAATTATTTAGATCTATCACTCATTATATTTTGATTACTACCATAGTAAGAATCTTAACTTCCACAACATGTAATTATTTAGATCTATCACTCATTATTATTTTGATTACTACCATAGTAAGATTCTGAACTTCCACAACATGCAACTATTTAGATCTAACACTCATTATTATTTTGATTACTACCATAGTAAGATTCTGAACTTCCACAACATGTAATTATTTAGATCTATCACTCATTATTATTTTGATTACTACCATAGTAAGATTCTGAACTTCCACAACATGTAACTATTTAGATCTATCACTCATTATTATTTTGATTACTACCATAGTAAGATTTTGAACTTCAATAACATGTAATTATTTAGATCTATCACTCATTATTTTAAAAGACCATGTTCTTCAGTTCATTGGAGCCTGCAGTAAAACACTGATGTTTATTACTTTTTGCAGTAAAAAAATGATTAAGAATTCTGATACTCACTTCAAGTTTGTTCCTTGATACTTAAATATTTTTATTAATGTATACTCATTCTTTAACAAGAATATTTTTTTTAAAACAAATTTAGGGTATATATGGTTGTATGAGAAACAGCTGCGCCAAGAGCGCATGATACACCCTTGTTATGTGTTTTGAAATTGTTGCAAGAAAAAAAAAGGGATATTTGAAGGCATTTAATCATAAAATAAAGTGATTCTGTACAAAAACATGCCTGAGGATACAGTTTTTTAAATTAAACAGTTTGGTATGTTCACCAATTCCAACATTTATGTAAAATCTCCACTAAATCAATCCAAGCAGACTCAACTTCAAGTTATGGTACAATATATGAAATGTACTAAAATCTGACAATTAAAGTCCCATAATTCTGGAGGGACAAAAAGGGAGCTTCCTTTCCACAATAATGTAAAGTTTGAAGGAAATCAATCCAGCAATTCTGGAGTTGGTGCACAATTTGTGAAAAATTGCCTTAAATGTAACAGTTAAAGTTCAGTAACTCTGGAACGACAAACTGGAAAATTAAAGAAATCTAAATATAGCTTCCTTTCATCAATTCCCACAATAATGTAAAGTTTGGAGGAAATCAATTAAGGAATAATGGAGAAAGTGCACTATTTATGAAAAGTTGTCTTATATCTAAGGGTCAAAGTTCAGTAAGTCTGGAATGACAAAGCCAATATAGAGCTGCGCCATGAGCGCATGATACGCCCGTTGCTTTTTCAATCGAATTAAGTTCACGAAGTCCTCAATGTCACATCAGAAATTTATAAAAAAAACTAAAGTGAGCTTATTATAATAGATATAAACCAGTCATCAAAGCATTTTTGAGTTATTGCCCCAAAACTGGAAACCCTCCCTTTTTTTATGAATAAAATCCCACAACTCGGAAACGTAAACTCTAAAATTTATGAAAATCGAAAGGGAGCTTTTGTCAATAGATATAAACAATTCGTTGAAGTTTCCTGAAAATAGGTTAAAGCGTTTTTTGAGTTATTGTCCAACATGTTGATGACAGACAGATAGACGGACATGGTATACCTAAATACATCCCGTAAACGGGTGTATAAAAATAAAGCTGGTCATGACGGAACAACACACATCTTCTTACGGTGTTACACCACATGCACAATATCATGACAATGTTCTAGCTCAGAAATGCCAAATCTAATCCCAAAAATCCTTCAGATAAAGAAATAAAATAGATGCAAAACTACATCATGAAAGTAAAATTCTATACAAGTTTCACAAAATTTTGCCCAGTGGTTAAGGAGCACTTACGAATACAAAAGTGGAACAGAAGGATGAATCAAGAGGAATAAACAGAAAGAAGAACAAACCAAAATAAACTGTTAACACAGAGATATGTCTCGCCTTTTTAGCTCACCTGGCCCGAAGGGCCAAGTGAGTTTTTCTCATCACTTGGCGTCCGTCATCCGGCGTCGGCGTTAACTTTTTACATTTTGAACTTCCTTCTAGAGAACCACTGAATGGAATGAAACCAAACATGGCATGAATGTTCCTTATGAGGTGCTGACCAAGTGTTGTTACTTTGTAGCGGATCCATCATCCAAGATGGCCGCCAGCGGGGGACTTAGTTTAACATAGGACCCTATGGGAAATACATACAAATGTCTTCTTTTAGAGAACCACTGAATGGAATGAAACCAAACATGGCATGAATGTTTCTTATGAAGTGCTGACCGAGTGTTGTTACTTACAAGCCGATCCATAATCCAAGATGGCCGCCAGCGGGGGACTTAGTTTAACATAGGACCCTATGGGAAATACATACAAATGTCTTCTTTTAGAGAACCACTGAATGGAATGAAACCAAACATGGCATGAATGTTCATTATGAGGTGCTGACCGAGTGTTGTTACTTTGAAGCCGATCCATAATCCAAGATGGCCACCAGCGGGGGACTTAGTTTAACATGGGACCCTATGGGAAATACATACAAATGTCTTCTTTTAGAGAACCACTGAATGGAATGAAACCAAACATGGCATGAATGTTCATTATGAGGTGCTGACCAAGTGTTGTTACTATGAATCTGATCCATAATCCAAGATGGCCGCCAGCAGGGGACTTAGTTTAACATTGGACCCTATGGGAAATACATACAAATGTCTTCTTTTAGAGAACCACTGAATGGAATGAAACCAAACATGGCATGCATGTTTCTTATGAGGTGCTGACCGAGTGTTGTTACTTTGAAACCGATCCATAATCCAAGATGGCTGCCTGCAGGGGACTTAGTTTAACATAGGACCCTATGGGAAATACATACAAATGTCTTCTTTTAGAGAACCACTGAATGGAATGAAACCAAACATGGCATGAATGTTTCTTATGAGGTGCTGACCGAGTGTTGTTACTTTGAAGCCGAACCCATAATCCAAGATGGCCGCCAGCGGGGGACTTAGTTTAACATGGGACCCTATGGGAAATACATACAAACGTATTCTTTTAGAGAACCACTGAATGGAATGAAACCAAACATGGTATGAATGTTTCTTATGAGGTGCTGACCGAGTGTTGTTTCTTTGAAGCCGATCCATAATCCAAGATGGCTGCCAGCGGGTGACTTAGTTTAACATGGGACCCTATGGGAAATACATACAAATGTCTTCTTTTAGAGAACCACTGAATGGAATGAAACCAAACATGGCATGAATGTTCCTTATGAGGTGCTGACCAAGTGTTGTTACTATGAAGCCGATCCATAATCTAAGATGGTCGCCAGCGGAGGACTTAGTTTAACATAGGACCCTATGAGAAATGCGTACAAATGTTTTCTTTTAGAGAACCATTGAATGAAATGAAACCAAACATGGCATGCATGTTCCTATTGAGGTGCTGACCAAGTGTTGTTACTTTGAAGCTGATCCTTCATCCATGATGGCTGCCTAAAGGGGACAATGTTTAACAAAGGACCCTATGAACAATACATACAAATGCTTCTTCTAGAGGTGCACTGAATGGAATGAAACCAAAACATGGCATAAATGTTTCTTATGAGGTGCTGATTAAGTGTTGCTACTTTGTTGCCGATTTACTGTTCAAGATGGCCACCAGGATTTTTTTATTAAATTTCAGGACCAATATTAAACCAAATTTGGCCTCACTCATTATTAGGGTATCTGTTATGATTTTAATCTATTTTTACATGATTTCCAAAACCAAAGTAGAATCAGGTGAGCGACACAGGCTCTTGAGAGCCTCTAGTTGTTATTTTGATAATGCAAATGTTGAAATTAAAATAGCAATACTTTAACATGTAAGTTATACAAATATTCAAAAAAAATATTCAAACAATGACTGAAGGTACAGGGCTAAACAATCTCCATGGAAATGAGATGTGCCAATAATAATACAACTGCATACAAAATACCATTGACTTATTATAAGTCGTTCTCTTTAAACAAACCTAAACACAAACATTAACATTAACTTGTAAACTATGTAAAAGTTTCAAAGTCAATAAACCATGATGAGGGGGTGGTGCTATATAATCTCCATGGAAATGAGAATTGCAAATGCCAATACATTTGCATACCAATTATCATTGACTTAACATTAGTGGTTCATCGATCTAATCATAAACTAATACATGTAAACTAAGCAAAAGTTTCAAAGTCACCATACCATGACTGAGGGGTAAGGACCAAATAGTCTCCAAGGAAATGAGAATTACTAATGCTTATACAACTGCATATCAATTATCATTGACCTACCACTAATGGTTCCTCTTTAACTGACCTAATCACAAACTAAAACATGTAAACTAAGCAAAAGTTTCAAAGTCAATAGACCATGACTGAGGGGGCGGGCCAAATAATCTCCATGGAAATGAGATGTGCCAATACTAATACACATATACAGACAACACATGGATTACTGAACAATTATTGACTTCAAATGAAGTGTATTAAATAATTTATAAACTCAAAATACTATATTTACAGAGACAATATTAAAGCAAATGCATATGATTTTATGTTTGTTTTTTCTGAACATAGTAAATATCCAATTTCATGTTGAATCATAGTACACAATCTTTAAATACAATTATTTCATAGTAATTAAAGATCCTCAAAATATATATTCCATAAAAATATATAAGTTCTAAATACAAACAGTTGATATAAAAATTTATTTCAAATACTTGAAAATCCACTTGTTTTAGAGGACAATAAATAACTATTTTCATCACTGGAACTATAAACTTGGTAAATGAAATCATATTGAATGAATACAATTTGTAACAGAACTATCAATTACAATGAAAAAATAAAACATAGCTAATACTTACACAACTAACTTATCTGATCTGCTAATTAACAATACCAAACAAATATTGTAGCTTTTTTTCTTAAGAATTTGTTTTTTAGCACAATGTTAGAGGGATATTTTGCAATAAAGTTTTACAAGTCCTCCTTATGTTTGTATAATTCTACTCTAAACAAATTTTCAGCTGACAAAATGCTATTGCTACACAAACTTAGTTTATAACCTGAGTTAGTTTTGATTGATTCTTGCTTGCTTCACCTCCTGTGGCTGATTTGACCATTCCTTTAACAGTAACTTTAAGGTAGTTCCTGATATTTTTACACCTTTGGATTTATCAACTTTTGTATTTGAGTATACCTGATGATTGATATGAATATCCACACATAGAAATTAACACTGACCTATTTTATCAAAACTGAACCTATGTATATCATATTTACAGAGATTTTGTGATAAAATTTCACGATATGGCTGATGGGTCTACCCTCATCATTTAGAAACCAAAAGAATAACTGAAACACATTAACAGATTAAAAGACATGAATATGATAACATGCTAAAGATATTTTTAGCTGGGGTTCTTAACTCTTGATTTCTGGACTAACCTTTGAAATATTAATTCCTGTCAAACTTTCTACAACATGAGGAATCTTCTCCATAATATCCAAAACTTCTCCAGCAACCTTGGAAGCTCCCACTGGTCCTTTACCACTGGAAACCATGGTGATCTTCTTACAGTTAGTCAATGGGGCTGAAATCTCGGCAGCAATCTATAATATAAATGTAGATAGTTTTCACTTCATACAAAATATTGCAGTTTATTCAAATATACACTTTTAAACTTGTTTTGGCTCATGGTTCAAATCATTTCTTACAATTTCAGAATTCTTTCATTCAAAGAAGATCAAATCTAGATTAAAGCAAACAGCTGACCAGATTTGACTAAGCAGTAAAAATGTGCATAAAGTTCTTACCTATTTTGACTGGAATCACCAAATGCTTCTAAAGATGGCAGTTATTTGAGATATGTCCACCCATGATAATGTTTTCATAAAATTCAATCTTAAATATCCATTTTTACATAATCAGATAAGAGATAATTAAAATATCATCCATCATCAACTGTAAATAAATGTACTGATTTTTATCCACTAATAATGAAAATAAAGGTAAACCTTTGGTAGTGTTTCTAGAATCATGTCAACCATGGCAGCATCTTGGTAATCTTTCCAGGCATCAGCTTTCTTGGCCATCTGTTCAGCTTCAGCTTTAGCCTTGGCTTCAATGGAGTAGGCTTCTGCATCACCCCTCAACTACAATCAAATTACTTCTAATAAGAATATCATTTGATGTATTGTTAGATCAATGTACAAAAATGTACGGTAAAGTCCAATAATTTTAGTTATGGATACCACATTTGAGTCAGATTTGCTTCATTAGCTTCTATAAACATGTGTGTCCAAGTTTTAAATGACAGTTTAGAAATAATTTAACAATTAACTTTCTAAAATTAATTTATTTTAACTGTATCAAATTTAGTTTTACCAGGCTTTGGTTCACTGTCGTTTGTAACTATATTAAAGGTACTTAAACTTGAAAGTAAGATTATGTCTGTACTAAAGGAAAATTATACCTTAACTGACTCTGCTTCAGCTTCAGCTTCAAGAACAATTCTCTTTCTATAAAATAAAAAGTTCACCATGTCATAAGTATATCTTTTTTTTATATTTTCCTAAATAAACGACCCAAGGAAACATACTGATGCTGATTTCATATTCAAATTGAAGTCATTTCAGACAATAGTGGTATAAATAAATTTTTTCAGTAGTTTTTAAAAGAAGACTTGTATGATAAAGGCTTGTTGTCATGAGAAAGACAAAAAAAGTGTTTTATTGTAATTTGCTTGACATCCAGTGGCAAATATATCTGATTATGAGAACAGATTGATTTTCTTTGTAGTTCTTATGCTGACTTTCAAACTGCCTATAAACTTCAATCAAAGTGTTTGTGAGCACTGAAGGGCAGATTGCTTTCATTTTGCAATGTGAACTTAAAATTAAACATTGAATTGCAATGGAGCATATTTAGGCAATATTTTAAATTTAAGTTATCTTCCTTTTTCCATAATTGTAGTCAACTTGAACCTTTTATAGAACAGATAGATTCATTCACCATGCAAGATTGATGTAATCTTCAATAAAATAGTATCAGTACCTAATCTAGGATTTTTGAGAGGGAGACGTGACTTCTCCTCCCATGAGAGAGTTGGGTGAAGTGGTCAATTTCTTGGAGAAGTGAAATTCCATTACCGTTTCGTTTGCATAGTGTTTTCGTGCACATCATTAAGGGAAACATGTTTTATTTGTGCAATAAAAAATTTACTTGCAGTGTTTTATATGATAATGATATTGTATAAAATGTAGGAATTGAAAATTCTTAATAAAAAGGTTTAGACAATGTAGTTGTTATTTATTCATTCAACCTTTTGTGCTGTCAACTTGAAATTTATTTTGTTGCTTGCCTAGTAATATTATCATGCATTAATCCCATGTGCATCTGCTTCAATTTTTTTAAGTCCAGAAAAATATGACTCCCAGTTTATGTGATGACTTTTTAATGACTGGGCAATTTAATGTTTATCTTTTGTAAAATATTGACTGTCCAGGACATCATGTCAGCTGTAAGTTAAGAATCTTGTGAAAGATTGTAAGCCTATATATAAATAAAAATATTTATCAATCACATTTTAATAAATCGATAAAGAGCTATTTTTTATCATTTTGTTACAAAAAATATCTCCCTCATTAACAAATTGGTCGTGAAAAACCCACTGCTGATCACAAGCTGGCCATGTGTTGTATGTTACTCTTTGCAACCAACTTATCCATTAGCTGTCTTTCTACCTTTTATATTTCAATTTTTAATAAAAAAAATATAAAAAATCTGCCGTTCATTGCCATCCTTAAACTACCAAATAGTAAAATTGATCGTCTCACAAATCAGCTGAGTGATTACGCAACATCCTCAGATGAAAATCATCGTAAAGTGATAACTCAAACAGACGCTTGGTTTCTTATTTCAATAGTTTTGAATGTTAAATCCATGGATGTTCAAAGTCACCGTTGTATTTATTTCATTTAAACGTCGACAGTATTAGTCCTGGGTCGTTTCGAAAAATTTCAATTTTCTTTGTCGGTCGCCATTTTTGTTTGGTTTTGTTTACCTGTGAGACTTGTAAAATTCAAGTTGTCTCCCTTTTACCTATTTTGATAGCGATTTGACTTCGACATGAAGTCAGTCGGACGGCGAGTTTTAGCGATTTTCAAAACTCCTTGGCAACTTAAATCGTCATTTCGCCGGCAAGATTATGGCCTGAGTATTCTTGATAGGTATGGTTATACACATTCACATTTATTTTGTAACTTAAATATAAGAGCATCAAATTATTTATCAAATACTTGTATGGGCATGAATGTGATCTAAAGAATATTCACCTCACTGCACCATGTTATATGAAACCTAAAAGGTCAAAATGAGGCTTGGAAGATATAGTTATCAAGCCACTTACATAAAGGTTTTGAATAATTTTCATGTTATAAACTTTTAAACACCTTTACATCATGCACATTAATAGAACAATCTTTTCATCATTTTAACACTTTACCCCTTACCTATTAGCCTCAGCAATTTTTTCAAGTCTAAATTTCTCTGCTTCAGCTGGTTTGCGGATTTGAGCGTCAAGTTCACGTTCTCGTCTGGTGATTTCCTGCTCTTGTAACTGAATCTGTTGTGACCTTTCAATGACCTTGATTTGCATCTGTTCTTCTTTGATGGCCTGTTTAGTTTTGGCAGCCTTTGATAATAAACAGAAATTACAATAATTTGTTTGAAATAACAAAATCCTTGTTAACACTTTCGGCAGTTTTTAGTAATTTTCCATCGATTTTCTTCATAGGACTGTACAAAGGAGTTATTATGCAATGTTTCATAGACTTTCAAGGATATAATTGTTCCAGATTATATGAGTGTATACTCATTTGGTTGTTAATGAGTGGGACCATACGAGTATTCAGACCATATAGGTATTTTTTCGAGTAAATTCTAACTTCCTTCACAGAAATATATAACTTGTTCTCCGAACCACAATTGGCCCAAGTTTACTAACTGAAATCCTTTATCGTTGACAAATTGTTTGAATTTTTGGTGCATCTGCTATTTTTCCTTTGCTAGAGTGACTTTAAAGTGCCTTTATCCAGTGGAATTTTTGGTGTATCTGTTATTTATCCTTTGTTAGAGTGACTTTAAAGTGCCTTTATCCTGTGGAATTTTGGTGTTTCTGTTATTTTTCCTTTGCTAGAGTGACTTTAAAGTGCCTTTATCCTGTGGAATTTTGGTGTATCTGTTATTTATCCTTTGCTAGAGTGACTTTAAAGTGCCTTTATCCAGTGGAATTTTGGTGTTTCTGTTATTTATCCTTTGCTAGAGTGACTTTAAAGTGCCTTTATCCTGTGGAATTTTGGTGTTTCTGTTATTTTTCCTTTGCTAGAGTGACTTTAAAGTGCCTTTATCCTGTGGAATTTTTGGTGTATGTTATTTTTCCTTTGTTAAAGTGACTTTAACGTGCCTTCATCCTGTGGAATTTTGGTGTATCTGTTATTTTTCCTTTGCTAGAGTGACTTTAAAGTGCCTTTATCCTGTGGAATTTTGGTGTTTCTGTTATTTTTCCTTTGCTAGAGTGACTTTAAAGTGCCTTTATCCTGTGGAATTTTTGGTGTATGTTATTTTTACTTTGTTAAAGTGACTTTAAAGTGCCTTTATCCTGTGGAATTTTGGTGTATCTGTTATTTTTCCTTTGCTAGAGTGACTTTAAAGTGCCTTTATCCTGTGGAATTTTTTGTGTATGTTATTTTTCTTTTGCTAGACTGACTTTAAAGTGCCTTTATCCTGTGGAATTTTTGGTGTATGTTATTTTTCTTTTGCTAGACTGACTTTAAAGTGCCTTTATCCTGTGGAATTTTTGGTGTATGTTATTTTTCCTTTGCTAGAGTGACTTTCAAGTGCCTTTATCCTGTGGAATTTTTGGTGTATGTTATTTTTCCTTTGCTAAAGTGACTTTAAAGTGCCTTTATCCTGTGGAATTTTTGGTGTATGTTATTTTTCCTTTGCTAAAGTGACTTTAAAGTGCCTTTATCCTGTGGAATTTTTGGTGTATGTTATTTTTCCTTTGCTAAAGTGACTTTAAAGTGCCTTTATCCTGTGGAATTTTTGGTATATGTTATTTTTCCTTTGCTAGAGTGACTTTAAAGTGCCTTTATCCTGTGGAATTTTGGTGTTTCTGTTATTTTTCCTTTGCTAAAGTGACTTTAAAGTGCCTTTATCCTGTGGAATTTTTGGTGTATGTTATTTATCCTTTGTTAGAGTGACTTTAAAGTGCCTTTATCCTGTGGAATTTTGGTTTTTCTGTTATTTTTCCTTTGCTAGAGTGACTTTAAAGTGCCTTTATCCTGTGGAATTTTTGTGTTTCTGTTATTTTTCTTTTGCTAGAGTGACTTTAAAGTGCCTTTATCCTGTGGAATTTTTGTGTTTCTGTTATTTTTCCTTTGCTAGAGTGACTTTAAAGTGCCTTTATCCTGTGGAATTTTTGTGTTTCTGTTATTTATCCTTTGCTAGAGTGACTTTAAAGTGCCTTTATCCTGTGGAATTTTGGTGTTTTGTTATTTTTCTTTTGCTAGAGTGACTTTAAAGTGCCTTTATCCTGTGGAATTTTGGGTGTTTCTGTTATTTTTCCTTTGCTAGAGTGACTTTAAAGTGCCTTTATCCTGTGGAATTTTTGGTGTATGTTATTTTTCCTTTGTTAAAGTGACTTTAAAGTGCCTTTATCCTGTGGAATTTTGGTGTATCTGTTATTTTTCCTTTGCTAGAGTGACTTTAAAGTGCCTTTATCCTGTGGAATTTTGGTGTTTCTGTTATTTTTCCTTTGCTAGAGTGACTTTAAAGTGCCTTTATCCTGTGGAATTTTTGGTGTATGTTATTTTTACTTTGTTAAAGTGACTTTAAAGTGCCTTTATCCTGTGGAATTTTGGTGTATCTGTTATTTTTCCTTTGCTAGAGTGACTTTAAAGTGCCTTTATCCTGTAGAATTTTTTGTGTATGTTATTTTTCTTTTGCTAGACTGACTTTAAAGTGCCTTTATCCTGTGGAATTTTGGTGTATCTGTTATTTTTCCTTTGCTAGAGTGACTTTAAAGTGCCTTTATCCTGTGGAATTTTTTGTGTATGTTATTTTTCTTTTGCTAGACTGACTTTAAAGTGCCTTTATCCTGTGGAATTTTTGGTGTATGTTATTTTTCTTTTGCTAGACTGACTTTAAAGTGCCTTTATCCTGTGGAATTTTTGGTGTATGTTATTTTTCCTTTGCTAGAGTGACTTTCAAGTGCCTTTATCCTGTGGAATTTTTGGTGTATGTTATTTTTCCTTTGCTAAAGTGACTTTAAAGTGCCTTTATCCTGTGGAATTTTTGGTGTATGTTATTTTTCCTTTGCTAAAGTGACTTTAAAGTGCCTTTATCCTGTGGAATTTTTGGTGTATGTTATTTTTCCTTTGCTAAAGTGACTTTAAAGTGCCTTTATCCTGTGGAATTTTTGGTATATGTTATTTTTCCTTTGCTAGAGTGACTTTAAAGTGCCTTTATCCTGTGGAATTTTGGTGTTTCTGTTATTTTTCCTTTGCTAAAGTGACTTTAAAGTGCCTTTATCCTGTGGAATTTTTGGTGTATGTTATTTATCCTTTGTTAGAGTGACTTTAAAGTGCCTTTATCCTGTGGAATTTTGGTTTTTCTGTTATTTTTCCTTTGCTAGAGTGACTTTAAAGTGCCTTTATCCTGTGGAATTTTTGTGTTTCTGTTATTTTTCCTTTGCTAGAGTGACTTTAAAGTGCCTTTATCCTGTGGAATTTTTGTGTTTCTGTTATTTTTCCTTTGCTAGAGTGACTTTAAAGTGCCTTTATCCTGTGGAATTTTTGTGTTTCTGTTATTTATCCTTTGCTAGAGTGACTTTAAAGTGCCTTTATCCTGTGGAATTTTGGTGTTTTGTTATTTTTCTTTTGCTAGAGTGACTTTAAAGTGCCTTTATCCTGTGGAATTTTGGGTGTTTCTGTTATTTTTCCTTTGCTAGAGTGACTTTAAAGTGCCTTTATCCTGTGGAATTTTTGGTGTATGTTATTTTTCCTTTGTTAAAGTGACTTTAAAGTGCCTTTATCCTGTGGAATTTTGGTGTATCTGTTATTTTTCCTTTGCTAGAGTGACTTTAAAGTGCCTTTATCCTGTGGAATTTTGGTGTTTCTGTTATTTTTCCTTTGCTAGAGTGACTTTAAAGTGCCTTTATCCTGTGGAATTTTTGGTGTATGTTATTTTTACTTTGTTAAAGTGACTTTAAAGTGCCTTTATCCTGTGGAATTTTGGTGTATCTGTTATTTTTCCTTTGCTAGAGTGACTTTAAAGTGCCTTTATCCTGTGGAATTTTTTGTGTATGTTATTTTTCTTTTGCTAGACTGACTTTAAAGTGCCTTTATCCTGTGGAATTTTTGGTGTATGTTATTTTTCTTTTGCTAGACTGACTTTAAAGTGCCTTTATCCTGTGGAATTTTTGGTGTATGTTATTTTTCCTTTGCTAGAGTGACTTTAAAGTGCCTTTATCCTGTGGAATTTTTGGTGTATGTTATTTTTCCTTTGCTAAAGTGACTTTAAAGTGCCTTTATCCTGTGGAATTTTTGGTATATGTTATTTTTCCTTTGCTAGAGTGACTTTAAAGTGCCTTTATCCTGTGGAATTTTGGTGTTTCTGTTATTTTTCCTTTGCTAAAGTGACTTTAAAGTGCCTTTATCCTGTGGAATTTTTGGTGTATGTTATTTATCCTTTGTTAGAGTGACTTTAAAGTGCCTTTATCCTGTGGAATTTTTGGTGTATCTGTTATTTATCCTTTGTTAGAGTGACTTTAAAGTGCCTTTATCCTGTGGAATTTTGGTGTATCTGTTATTTTTCCTTTGCTAGAGTGACTTTAAAGTGCCTTTATCCTGTGGAATTTTTTGTGTATGTTATTTTTCTTTTGCTAGACTGACTTTAAAGTGCCTTTATCCTGTGGAATTTTTGGTGTATGTTATTTTTCTTTTGCTAGACTGACTTTAAAGTGCCTTTATCCTGTGGAATTTTTGGTGTATGTTATTTTTCCTTTGCTAGAGTGACTTTAAAGTGCCTTTATCCTGTGGAATTTTTGGTGTATGTTATTTTTCCTTTGCTAAAGTGACTTTAAAGTGCCTTTATCCTGTGGAATTTTTGGTATATGTTATTTTTCCTTTGCTAGAGTGACTTTAAAGTGCCTTTATCCTGTGGAATTTTGGTGTTTCTGTTATTTTTCCTTTGCTAAAGTGACTTTAAAGTGCCTTTATCCTGTGGAATTTTTGGTGTATGTTATTTATCCTTTGTTAGAGTGACTTTAAAGTGCCTTTATCCTGTGGAATTTTTGGTGTATCTGTTATTTATCCTTTGTTAGAGTGACTTTAAAGTGCCTTTATCCTGTGGAATTTTGGTTTTTCTGTTATTTTTCCTTTGCTAGAGTGACTTTAAAGTGCCTTTATCCTGTGGAATTTTTGTGTTTCTGTTATTTTTCCTTTGCTAGAGTGACTTTAAAGTGCCTTTATCCTGTGGAATTTTTGTGTTTCTGTTATTTTTCCTTTGCTAGAGTGACTTTAAAGTGCCTTTATCCTGTGGAATTTTGGTGTTTCTGTTATTTATCCTTTGCTAGAGTGACTTTAAAGTGCCTTTATCCTGTGGAATTTTGGTGTTTTGTTATTTTTCTTT